GGCTGGCCACGCGGGGCCGCCTTCCCCCCGGGAGCCTCGCGCGACAGCATGTGGCTCGTGGGACTGTGACAGTGCAGGGAGCCCCCTCCCAGTGTCCAAGGCCCTCTTCTGGCCACCCACGCGGTGGCCACACAGCATGGTTCCCGGCCTTACGGTGTCTAAGTGCTTTTCTTGTGTCTTGTAGGTGTCGTGGAAAACACCCCACACTGTACTTTATCCCCCTGCTCCTGCCGCCCCTGGCCTTGTTTTGTTAAAGATTAGTTGCATCACTCTATCTGGCTTCCTACAAACAACGGCCTTAACTCAGTCGAGAATCCTTTTGGGGAACTGATTTTCTTTATTAAAAAATGGTGTCTGGAGGCTTTTCTCGGTACATGCGTACTACGGGCACATGTACAGAAGAGACTGTGTATGTGAGGCACACACGCCGCTCAGAAAAACTCTCTGGCTATCTATTAACTCATTTGAGAAACAGTTATAATTTGTCAGCTTGTCCAGACCTGGATCACAATTCTGGAATAAAATATTTGTATCAAAGTCCTGTTTAGCACTAACAGGTTGGCCCTTGTCGCCTGCAGGCAGAGGAGGTTCCCTCCCCGAGCATCAGCAGAGTACTGGGGCCTCTTTGGTTAGCATGAGCCTCTGTCTGCCCGACTCCCTTTTCCTGCACAAGCCATGCGACTCCCACGTGGGCAGCGACAGGAGCCATCTCTCATTTCCCCTCCAGGCGCCTGCTGCAGGGCCCTCCCTTTCCCGCCTGCCAAGGGCTTTCCCTGCGGCCGTGCACATCCCCCTGCTCGCTGAGACCATGCGCCAGGAGAAAATTCAGGATTCTTAACTCAAAGTTTTGCTTTTGCCCCCATTTCATCCACAAATCATGATGATACAAAAGCAGGACAGAATCCCCGACAGAGGCCTGGAAAGAACATAATAGCACAGGGAAGCGAGGGTTGGACTTTTAGGAGCCTGTCCTGTCTCCGAGCCCCCGCCCACACCAGTGTCACAGCACTATCGAAGAAAGTCCCTCACAGTTTGCGTTTCTTTCCCGAAGTAAAATCATCATCAGGGTCACTCCCGATTTGGTGAGGTCGTCATCCCCCCAGTCTTCAGGACTTCCCTCCCGGTCAGGCTGGCCCAGGCACCAGGACAAGTACCAAAGAGTAGTCTTCAGTGTGGCCCCGTTTAGTTCCCTGCTGGCCCTTCAGCTCCTGCCCACCCGGTTTCCACCTACCTGGATGCCACCACCAGCCACCCAGCGAGGCTCTCTGGTCCACCCTGTTTTCCTTCCCTCCCACATGAGCTCCAGCCAGAACACAGAAAGACCACGTAAACTCAGGCAAAAAATGTACTCAGCCAAACCATGACCACAGGTGGCAGCTGACCGGCCCTCCGCCCCACAGTGACCATTTCTTTGTACTTTGCCCCACCACCTCAGACCAGCATTTTCCAACCCCTGCATTGGCCGGATAAAGTGGCATTGCCCCTGCAGTTAGTCTCGGACGGGACATGAACGGGCCCGATGTGGTAAACCCCTAGGCCCGACAGACACGAGCACGACCAGGATCCTAGATGTAGCAGGACCACAGGCAAGCTCTGTACTGACAGCTCAACTCCATCACCTCTGTGTTAATATTTTTTTCCTAACTTGCACAAGACTTTGAGGTAATTTAGAAAACAGGTGCTTAATTGCAGCTAAATTACAATGGAGTATATAAAAGAATCAAGACATTAAAAAATCTCAGTTTAGACCCTCAAAGAAAACCATTGTGACTGTCTCCTCCGACTTGGAAAAATGCACAGGAGAACAAATTAAAATCGACAAATTGATTTCACTTAGAGAAGCTAATTATCTTACAAGTGTCAAATTAAGATGACACTTAAAGGTCCTTAGCATGAACTTAATGATGGAGAGGAATGCTCCATAGTCAGTTCTCAGGAAGGTAATGAGATGCTCATTTTTAGAGATTTTTCCAAGAAGATATTTTGATTCATTAAAATATTAAATAAAAAGCCCTCCTACCACCAGAACCCAGATCAGTGGAGCCACCATAATGCCACTTCTCCTGCCTCAGGGTGGCACGGCAGCGTTAGACTTCTGAAAGGTCTTTAATGCTTTTCACTTATGGAAAGTACTAAAGATTAGATTTTTTAGTTCCTTTATCCTTAGAATTTTTGTTTTTCTTCTGGCAGGAGTCCTTTAGCTGGTGACAAGGTATACATAAAAATTATTATAAAAATACTTCTGTGATCATCTAGTCTCTTGTTTGAGGCAGACACTGAATCCTAACTCATGTTTGGAAGCTCCTGAGTGAATAGTTTTAAAAACCATAAACGCTTCTGTTGTTTAATACGGTTTCCTTAGCGTCCGACACCGTGGTTAGGAGTCTGCCATAATACTGTCGTTTTGTTTCCACAGATATTCTAGGCATGGAAATACCTTAATACTGGATTCGAGGTTTTGTATCAGTTTCCCTTCTTTAAACCCGTTTCCCCGGGCGCAGCGGTGAACGGCGCCGTGGCCGTCCAGGTCTGCCCCCTACTTTTCCCAGGATGCCATGCGCTTTTCACCTGACCACACTGTACAGTGACATCCACGAGCCCTTTCAACAGTGGGTGGTTTCGCTCTTTTTATACCTTTTTCTCAGTCACTGACGTTTGTCCCTGTCTGATGTGTAGCATTGTAACAAGAGCCACCAAATCCCAAGTGTCAATTTGTTGTCCCTACTGTAGAAGAAATAGTGACGTAGAAAAACCTAGTGAATTCTGAATGCTTTTCCACGTAGACTTATCTGGAATGTGAACACGACTCTTTGGTTAATAGTAACTGCTTAACTGTAGTCCTGAGTAGGTGCATTTCTGTCTGTCTCAATAAATTTTAATTTGTCTGCAGCATCTGCGTGTCTGTGCTTTGTCAGCTTGGACGTGAGCCTGGCAGGCGTGTGGGGCGTGCTGGTGCGGTGGGTGCAGCCCGGGGAGGGCACAGCGGCGCCTGTCCGGGCTTCCAGGCACGGGAGCGAGGCTGACCGCTGCGGCCCTGCCTGGCCTGGCCCCTGCGCATCGCACCCCAGGGCCCGCGGGCCCTGCGCCTGCTCAGGCTAAACCACATCCCCTGAGCCTCGTATTTGCTTTCACCTCTCTCAGGCTTCAGTTTTGCTACTTAGTCCCTACCAGGTTTCACTGCTGCCCTGCTTGCGGCCTTACGCTTTTTCAGTTCTGCCTGTTCCTTCCCTCCCCGGTCACTTCATTTTCCAGTTCTCCTGGGAAAAAAGAACCTCTCTCCTTTACGGGGACCCTGAGCTCTCCCCAGTTCATGGGTTCACACACCAGATGCTGGTCAAAGCACCAGAATGGAACGGGAATTGCCTCCTGTCCACCTTCCTGCACATTTAGGCCCCTGTGGCTCTGACTTAATTATTCCCGGGGAGTAATCGCCCCACTGGCGAGGAACACGCTGTGAACTGGGCTGTACAGACAATCCACAGATGGACTGAACAAGGAAGGTGCTTCCCAAACCCACCAACCAGGGTCAGAAGAACGATGGCCAACCCAAAGCTCGGGAGCAGCTACATTTGTGGGCCCCCCCCCTCCGGCACAGCGGGACGGGCCAGACGTCACACTCCTCCAGCTGAGCCCTCACAGTGCCACCTTGGCCTGTCAGAGGCAGTTCTCCCAGTTCAGAGACACTGTGTGAGCCAGGAGGTCACAGCACCTCCCCACAATTCCTAGTCATCTGTAAGATTTTCTTTGAAAATTCAGTTCAAGGAAAGAGGCAGATTTCAAAATGTATTCATTCAACAAGCTTTTATAGGTTTTATTAGATTGGAGATTTATAGGCTAATGTGTGTTGGATGGGCGAGCGCCACTATGGGCAGGCCCCCATTCAGTTCCAGGAATATAAATGGGAGTAAACCCGGTGCCTGCTCTGTGAGTTATCTCCTTGAAAACAGACAAATAAGTGATTGTG